GAAGCTTTTCAAATATTTTATAAAACTTTATATAATAGTAATATCCTTCCACAATAAAAATTGAAGAATATTTAAAAATAATTTTAATAAGAAAGGTTCAGATGATGATAAAAATATAATGGAACAGATGATTATGGATAAAGAAATAGAGGATATTATAAATAATTTAAAGGCAGGAAAGACCCCTGGAACAGATGGATTAGGAGTATTATAACGTATTTAAAAAGATTCTTATACCAAAATTAAAAGAGTTATTTAATATTATTAAAGGGAGAAGAAATCCCACCATCATGGAGAGAATCACTTATAGTTTTAATATTGAAACTAGATAAAAATCCTATAAATATGGAAGCATATAGACCCATATCACTGATAAATCAGGATGCTAAGATATTTACGGCAATAATGGCAAAGAGATTGAATAGTTTTATGTGGAAATATATTGAAAAAGATCAAAACGGATTCACACTAGGGGGGCAAATGTCAGATTTAATGAGGAAGATACTTAACTTAATGCACCTAGCAAAAGTAATTCCAAGGCGGGAGTAATATCGTTAGACATATTCAGAGCATTTGATTCAGTGGAATGGGATTCGTTAAAGACATTAATTAATTAGTTAGAGTTTGGTCCTAATTTTAATCAGATAATCCACCAACTTTATTCACAGAATATAGCCAGAGTAATAGTCAATGATGGTATAACTGAGTCAATACACCTAGGTCAAGGTACAAGACAAGGTTGACCCTTATCTCCAGTATTATTTACAATGATAATTGAAATATTGGCACAGATAATTGTTCTCGATCAACCCAGAATGTAAGCAACACAATGAGCTCAAGATCGGTTAGATATATAAGAAGTGATTTTACTAGTTTTACAGCCCCAGTGAATTTCTATGGCTGACTGAGGAATCAGGCCAACACCTCTTGAGTCCCAGTTGGTCACTTTGTCCACAGCACCACACTGTCTAACCTAACACATCTTTCTTGTATACTCTACCCAGTATTAAATAGTGTGTGTACGTGGTATCCTACTGTGAAGTGAGATGCTGGGAGTTCAATTCTCTACTATGCTTCCCATAGTTGGGAACTCTGTGGCATTGGCACAGGGCACTCCCAGAATAAGAGAAGGGTGTTCTGAATGTTCTGTTTCATTAGAAAACCCTGTAAACAGCCATCATGTCAGAACTGGCCTGGCAACATATTATCGTTATATATTATTTATGTAGGCTTTTATTGATACCCTGTTTCCCAGAAAGTAAGACCTAACCTGAAAATAAGTTCCAGTATGATTTTTCAGGATGGTCGTAATGTAAACCCTACTCCAAAAATGAGCCCCAGTTAAGTGAAACCCCGCCCTCCACCCTTGTGCAGCAACCAGAAGAAGAGGACATGACTGTATTTGAATAAATGTAGATGGTTGTACATGAAAAAAATAAAACATACCCAGAAAATAAGCCCTAATCCGTTTTTTAGGAGCAAAAATTAATATAAGACCCTGTCTTATTTTTGGGGAAACATGGTAGATAGAGGAATCTAGTACAGTGGTGCCTCATATTACGACGTTAATTCATTCCAGCGAAATCGCTGTAAAACGAAAATATCGTAATGTGAAAAGAAAAAACCCATTGAAAGGCATTAAAACCCATTTAATGCGTTCCAAAGGGCTGTAAACTCACTGTCCAGTGAAGATCCTCCATAGGGCGGCCAATTTCGCTGCTTGTGCAGTGAGGAATCCATCCCAGAAAACAGCGGGGGCATTTTGTTTACCCGGTGGCCATTTTGAAACTGCCGATCAGCTGTTGGAAAATCGTCGTTTTGTGAAGAATTGGTTCCCGAAGCAGGGAACCGATCATTGCAAAGCGAAAATCCCCCATAGGAAACATCGTTTTGCGATCGCAAAAGCGATAGCAAAAAGTTCATTGTAATGCATTCGTCATTAAACGGGGCAATTGTAAAGCAAGGCACCACTGTACAACTAGTCTCCAGTATTCTTGCATTATATATATTTTAAAAAATGAAAGTGAAAGGACAGATACTCTGTTAGGTAAAGCTTGTGCAAGATTCTGCACTGAATATATGCAAAGAACAGGAGCAACACTCAGTGAAAAGCAAAAGCAACGTCTGTTAAACTTTCTGCAAAACTGGTCATAGAAAAATGTTTACTGACTCACGTTTTTGTCACTTCAGTGTTGTCCACCGCCCATATCCATTTGTTATGTTTTTTGATTGCTCCAAGCCAGTATGTGTTAAACGAGTCAACGACAAGTTTTTCTATGAACTCCTATAACAAGAGGAATTTATTGGGACTGAGAAGGTACCGTATTTTTTGCACCATAAGACGCACTTTTTCTCCCAAAAAAACTGGGGGGAAACGTGCATGCATCTTATGGAGCGAATACTGTCCCCTCCATGCCACCATTGCTTGCTGCCCAAGCCTCCGGAGGCCTCAGCAGGCCCCGTGGGGGCCTCCCCTAGCGACCATCACTTGCTCCCCAGACCTCCGGAGGCCTCAGCAGGCCCCGTGGGGGGTCCACCACCACCACCATCGCTGGCTTCTGAGGACCTCCAGGAGGCTTTTGACCGTAAGGTGCTGCTTTTTACTTTTTAAATTTTTTTTTAAATGTTCTGCGTGGGTTTTGGAGGGTAGATTTGGGCTGGGGG